GCTTTGAAGTTCCTCTTACTGCTTCCTTGGATAAGGTCTTATTTATCCTTTGAAGATGTCTGCCTTTCTCCAACCATAGTTGATCCTCCTTTTCTTCCTTGATCAAGGCATTGAAGTTACTTTTAGGCTCCCATACGTAACAATTATTCTTAGCTCTAGACCCCCTCATGACTTCCTCATCTTCTCCATTGGTGACAACACATTCACACTTAGTGAGTTTGACACTGAGACCTTGGTCACAAAGCTGACTGATACTGATTAGATTTACAGTTAGTCCTTTAACCAACATAACATTATCCAGTTCTGGAACACCAGGATAATCTAGTTTTCCAGCACCTTTGATTTCTCCTCTAGCTCCATCACCAAATGTTACATGACTTGAGGAATGAGGTTTGATGTTCACCATAAGGTTCTCCATTCCATTCATGTGTCTAGAACAGCCGCTGTCAAAATACCAGTCTTCTTTGGTTGGCATCCTTAGAGAAGTATGAGCTAATAGTGCCACATTCTTAGCAACCCATTGTCTTTTCTTGATGGGAGCAACCTGTTTAGGTTTGACCTGATGCCTGTGACTGGGAAATCCATGTAACCTGAAGCAGAAAGGTTTAATGTGTCCAAGTCTTCCATAGTAGTAACACATATACCCTTGGAATTTATTCTTGGTCAAGTTCCTACTTTTGTTCCCCTGATGTTGTCAGATTAGTCGTGACATCTGGTTTGACCTCTGATTCTCAACCTTTGGCTTCTTGGACCCCAAGATGGGTTTCTGTTCACCAACAAATCCCAGTCCAAACTTGTTTCTTGTTTTTTGACCACTCTGTAGAATATTTTCTAGAGTGTCAGTCCCAAAGTTTAGCATTCTTATGGATTTTGACATCTGATCTAGTTTAGATTCCAACAAGCTGACCTCACTTTTGAGAGAGTCTATGGTTTCCAGATGCTCCATTTTCTCAGCCTCTAATTCCCTTATGCTTTTCTTTTGTTGCTCTCTTTGCTGATATATTTCTGCACTTCTGATGCATAGCTTTTTATATGAAGTTGCAAGTTCATCAAAAGTCAGCTCATCTTCACTTGAGTCACCATCAGATATGCATACACTATTCAGAACAGTGACATGTTTGGCAGATTCTTCTTCTGATCCACTCTTAGAATCTCCATCAGACCAAGTGACTGCTAGGCCCTTCTTTTGCTTCTTGAGATAGGTGGGACATTCAGCTCTAATGTGCCCATATCCTTCACATTCATGACACTAAACTCCTTTGCCTTGGTTGGGCCTTTCTTCATTTTTACCTCTTCTGCTGATGTCAGAAGAAGTGTTCTTGTCATTAGGCCTAGACTTATGATCTATTCTTTTGATCAGTTTGTTAAATTGTCTTCCAAGCAAGGCTATTGCTTCTGACATATTCTCCTTACTTTCACCATTGTCTTCCTCAGAGTCATCTGCAGTATTTAAGGCAAGGGCTATGCTTTTGTTCTTCTTCTCAACCTGATCACACATTCCCATCTCAAAAGTTTGGAGAGAACCAATGAGTTCATCCACTTTCATGTTGCTTATATCCTGAGCTTCTTCAATAGCAGTGACTTTCATGGCAAACCTCTTAGGCAAAGATCTTAGAATCTTCCTCACAAGCTTTTCTTCAAACATCTTTTCTCCTAAAGATCCTGAGGTATCGGCAATCTCAAGAATGTTCATGTAGAATTCATGAATAGTCTCATCCTCATTCATTCTCAGATTTCAAACTTGGTGGTCAGCATTTGTAATCTTGACATCTTGACTTTAGAGGTTCCCTCATGAGTTGTTTTGAGGGTATCCCAAACCTCTTTAGCCAGTTCACAATGATGCACTAGTCTAAAAATGTTCTTGTCTATACCATTAAATAAGGCATTCAAAGCCTTAGAATTCCCAAGAGCCAAAGCCTCTTGCTCTTTGTTCCATTCCTCTTCAAGTATTAACACAGATACTCCATCTAGGTACCCAACAGTGGATGTTATCACGGATGCTATGACATCCACTATAACACATACTACAAAACTTAATGATAAACTGTAAATGAAAACAACAAATAACACAAGTAATTGTTTACCCAGTTCAGTGCAAACCACACCTACATCTGGAAGCTACCAAGCCAGGGAGGAAATTCATTATTAGTATAATTAATTCAGAGTCAAACAACCAGTTTGCACTATTCACTTAAGACCTACCCAATGACACTTCAGCCTAACACTAGACCTGAGTTACCAACTCACTCCCCTCAATCACAACAGTGATATCAACCAATTAAAGTTACAGATAAAATTGAAGACACACTTCAAACACACCTTGATCTTGCTTCACAGCTTTGATCAAGTGACACAGCACTCTTGCTTCAAAGCTTAGAGTGACACACTTAACAGATAGCTTAAGAACTCTAGACCAATGCAATCATACAGCAGATAATTGCTTGGTTAATTACAAGTATTCCTAAGACACACAAAAACACAGTGAAGAACATAATTCTTCACTCACAAAATACATTCCTCTAAAACCCTGTCAAGAACTGTTTGCAAATAGGATTGCTACTTCTGTATATATAGGCAGTATACAGTCCTTGGGCCTTAGTGAAGAAATTAGGTTTACCCACGATAAACCTCTCTTCATGAAACTGCGCACGTCCAATTTGGTCAGGGGCATTCCATGTTATCCTTAGCAATGCCTAATATGTCGCCTGAGATAACTAGGCTTCCTAAAATGTTTCCTGAATTATAGCCTGAGCTAATACCAGAAACTAAAACCCGCGCGCCCTGATGTCATACACTTGATGTCATAACATTCAGCATGACATCCAACATACTTGACTCTTAGCTATTCAAACTTACCATGCTGAATACTAATTATGTATGTCATAACATCATTCATGACATTCATACATCCATCAATGTTTTGCCATAAAATGCAGCCAATCAAAAACATCTACACTTCTACCGGTGTAAGAATGAATGCAAATGATTGGAATGGGATCCCAAGCTGCAACGCTGAAAAATAAAACATTTGGGCAAATTCTGTAGTGGTTAACCGATTAACCAAATTTTCCTAACAAATAGTTAATCGGTTAACACCCCTGAAATTTGAATTTTCTTGGCACCATATGGAGGGAAGCCTAGGGAATCAACTATTACCTCTATAACTCTTAATTTATGCATTTTTTGGACTTGCCTCCTTCTACAAACTTGTAGTTCCTGATGAGTTCTTCAATTTGATTACAAATTTACCTCATTCGGATCAAAAACGAGGAAATTACGAATATTGCAAGATAGCCCCATAAACACAAATTCTGCGCAAAATCCTGATTTAGCAGCTTCTTCTGATTTCTCTTGATTCCTCTTGAATAATCTTCATAATACCATGGATGATGACTTGAAATGCCCAAATATGATCCTAGAACTCAAGGGTTGACTTTTGTAGGGCATCACTTGACTTTACTACCAGATGAAATCCAATCCTCCTCTACCCACTTCAGAAACTCCTGAAACAACTTATGATGGACCATGAGGCATCTGTAAACCCTTTGAGATGTATGTTGACTCTTGTTCAAGAAATCAAAAGATGCATTGATCCCATCTTTAGAACCAATGTTATGCACAAATGAAGATGAAAATGAATGAAGCATAAGCCAATTAAGGTTAGAAATAAGAGGGAAATTTTTAAGGTGTTCCACTATGTACAGTGGAGCCATGTTGTACTTTGTCATGTCATTCACAAACTGTATCTCATGATCTTTTAGAACACCAAATATGTCATGGTCATCTAAATCCTTAGATAGTTTATGATTGTGAAACCCACACCTAACATTCACCCTCCAACCAATACCACTTGGCGAAGATCTCAACCTAAAAGAACATTTCACTTTCATACTATAAAGGTCATCCTTGTTTGAAGATTGACTACTTTCAAACGTATTTTTTATTTTATAATTCCCTCCTCTCTCACAACTTATTATCAATTTATCCTTCCTACTTCGCTGGCCATTTGCAGTATCAAAACAAACAGTCACAACTATAATACCATGTTGCTTGCCAATATGTTGTGCCCAGACTAATACTTCAGCTCAGCTATGAAATATATGTCGTTTACATTACATAAAAAGTATAGTACCAATATCATAAACGCAATGAAAATATTAAATTTGAACTTGTTACATAGAAAACATATTTTTTTCTATGGTGAAGAACTGCGTGCAATCACTACACGAATCCGTACATGACCTTGTCGGTTCCATACCACACAAAGCAAGCATTTTTGAACTAGCAACTATGTTATCGGAAATTTCAAGTGCATACGAAATTTCCAGTATATCGGATATTTTGAAATTTCCTGAAGTTTTTGCTACCGGAAATTTTCAAAATTTTCGGTATTGATGTCAAAATTGTAATGATATTCACCGGATATTTTAAAATTTTCTATAAAAAAATACCAAATATTTACAAATTTCCGGTACAAACACGGGAATTTTAAAATTGTTCAAAAATATGCGTGTCAGAAATTTAGAAACAACTATCGAAAATTTAGAAATCTTAGATAGAAAAAAGTGAAATTTTTTGTAAAAATAATAAATTCTTTAGATAAATAATAATAGAGATGTTTTTGAAATATTAAAAATATGGGAGGTGGCAAGTATAAAACGGCGGGTGGCAGATTGAATCCTAGAATTAGATAGTGAGTACCTTTACATCATGGTAGTGTTAAACTTAAAGTATGGGTATTGGGCTTGGGTCAGGCAAAAGCCCAAAAAATCGAAACAGCTACATTTATAAAGTTCAAATAGTTTAGTGTTATTTCCTATGGCTATTATTCCCATCGCTCTATATTGGCCACTGTATCATAAAATCAAATTAAAGCATGGACAGTAGTATATCATTAAACCTTTGCTCTCATAGTATAATACACTAGTATATGATAAAGTTAACCTTCAATTCAAATACATCCATATTATTTTATTAAACTAAATATTACATCCAAATTATCAGAAGACACTACTTTGGTAGGAACAGGTCTTGAACTGAACATTCTCAATGGGCAGTTTGTCACTAGGAAAAGAACAGTCCAACTTCTCTTTCTCTGGCAGTAATTCACAAGGTTTAGGGCTTACATTACTTGTAACTCCAGAAACATCAGTGCAATTCCATGGAAGCTTTTTCTGTCCATTCATTTCAATAGTCGCATTAGAAATACATATTCCTGTAAAAGGATCATTTGAAATCCCTTCAAGTTTCGCAGCATAAGTCACATTCTTCGCAATAACATCTCTATAACTGATTCCACTGATTTTAGGCAATGCTTTTGGGTCATACCCCTCACCAGGGTGTGATTTATAATCACCTGTCATCCAAAACACATATTTCATTGTATTCAAGTTCATTCCTTTAACAAAAATGTCCTTCACGAATGCACCTCTACCGACTGCTGTTTTGATTCTAACAGCTGATTCAGTGTTGATAGCAGTTATGTCTTCAATTCTAACATCTTGGATTCCACCTGACATTTCACTCCCTATTGCAACCATAGCACTATCAGGTGATATACATGTTAACCTTCTTATGATAATTTGTTGAGATGGCTTTCCAACTCTGATTCCGTACTCATCAATTCCACTTTTTATTGCAATGCAATCATCACCAGAGACAATGAAGTTGTCTTCAATCCTAACATTTGTACATGAATCTATGGAATAGGAAGAAAAAAAATTGTAAAACAAATAATTGTTAGTAGTAGTTTCATAAGAAATACACTTACTGACACACAGACATACAAACACACGAACGCGACTCAGATGATAATTTAAGAAAATAAACCTTACCAGGGTCTATGCCATCTGTGTTTGGAGAGTCAATAGGTGCAAGGATGGTGAGTCCATTTATAATTATGTCACTGAAAAAATAAAACTTCATCAATGAACTATTGCATTCATAAGAAAAAAGAATAATTGAAAATGGTGCATTTATCTAACCTGCTGTAAATTGGATGGACAACCCAAGCTGGGGAATTAACCAAAGTAAGATTAGAGATTTGAATTTGATTAGAGTACATGAGTTCAATCATGTTAGGTCTAGTGATTTTCAATTGATGCTTGCGGAACATGTTCCACCAATATGATCCTTGTCCATCAATTGTTCCATTGTTACCGGTAATTACCACATCAGTGAGATTAGTTCCAAATATGAGACTGCTAGACCATCTATCAGTAATTACTCCATCTCGACCTTTTCCGTAAGATGGTAAAACAGGAAGTTGGGGCCATTCTGATTCATCCTGTGTCATAGAAATGTCCCTTTAATTGAATATAAAATTTCCAAATGCTACAAAATAAAAGTCATCATAAATATATATACCTGAGATGCAAGAATGACAGCGTCTTTTTGGAGAAAAACTGTGAAATGGCTTGTGAGGTTGAAGCTTCCGGTGAGCCATTTACCTGGTGGAACAATAAGTTGTGCACCACCATCATTTGCATATTGGCTTAGGTTAGTTATTGCTGAATTAAAAGCCTTTGTGTTAGATGTTTTTCCATCGCCAACACCACCAAAATCTGTCAAAATTGCACTGTGTTTTCTGCAATTGATTGCAGGATAATCGAAATTGTTCAATTTACTACTAGGTATTCCACATTCTGCTACTGATCCCAATATCAGAACTATTGAAATCACACGAATAACCTACACAAAACAATTATCAGTCTATATGCTAAAATAATAGTAATAACCACAAGAAACGTTAATAAAAAAAAAAATACTTAAATACACAAAGAAAGTTACATAGGAATTTTCAAATCTTGGAGTTTTCATGTTTTGATGAGACATGCAATTGTGAGGAACACAGACCTTATTGTTATATAAAGAAATAGATTACCTCCTATTATCTATAATAATATATATAAAAGGAAAATAATGGTTTGCGTAGACTATTTTTTTTTACTTATTATGTTTTTTAACCGTTATTTTAAAATTACAAAATGCATTTATTAAATAATAACCGCTCATTTCTCAATTTAAAACTTTTAAATTTTTTATTTTTCTTCCTTAATTATCGGTAACTTGTCAAATTCTTTCTTTCACTTGCAAATCATCTCTCTCTTTGATAATTACTACAAATTTCTCTTTCACATCAACTTTGAATCCTTAGATTGTAAGTTGTCTCTCTTTTCACTAATGAATCTTTGAGTTGTGTTTATGTGTGTGACTATCATTATCTTTATGGGTAAATCAAGTAGTATAAACATCAGATTTGCTTAGGGAAAGCAAGAATTATGAGACACCCAAATAAAAAATTCAGATGTATCTGTGTGTATTTTTATGTATGATTAATTTGTTATTCATTATCAGTTTCTCCTAACTGTTGTTTTTAATTATGAGACTGTCAGCCATCAATTATGTTGTCATTTTTACAGTTTCTCTCTAGTATACTCATTCATTTGGAACAACCGTGAATGTCTACGTATTAAACTATAATTTTCATTTCATTAACTATCGTGTTGAATGAGTGGAATATAGTGTCATGTTGAATGGGTGGATGTGTTAAATGAGTGGAATATAGTGTCATGTTGAATGGGTGGATTATAGACAGGAAACATTTGTACTCATTCACACTATATATAATTATTATGTATTCTTCGTACCATTATCTAGAAGTTTGGCTTTACAATCAAAGTATATCCTTATTTTAGTTTTATTACTTGCCTCTTTGTATTCATTTTATAGTTAACATGTGCATTAATGCACTTTTGGTGTATATAGATTGTGATCATAATTTTGAGTATAAAGTATAATTTATATTATTTTATAATGATAATTTTAGCATCTTTATTCAAAACTAGAATTTTTTCTTCTTTTAGTTTTTAACTATTTGTTTGTAATCGTAATTATGTTATTCATTTGTTACTTTTGTTTTTAATATATTTTATGTCATTCAACCTAATAAAAAAAATTATTTTTCTTTATTTTTCTAAAAGGTATTGATATGATCCTCATTGTATTGTGTCATCTTTATTTTTTCATTAAAATAGATTTATATTAAAAGAAAGTATTATTAATGAGAAAGCATTATTAATTTAATGACAATGCATTATTATTTAATGGGTATATTTTGTAGTATTAAAATAGCAGTAAAGGACATATATGAAACAAATATAGGTCAGTTTAAAATAATATATTGATTTATATATAGATATACATAATATTTATAGATTATTTATAATTAAATATTACTATTTTTTATTTTCTAAAACATAAATAATATTTATTGATAATAAATTTATTATTATTTTTAATTTATTATGACTAATAAATTGAGAATAAGAGAGGAGAGAACAAAAAAATTTAAGACGACAAACATCTCACTCACTCTTATCTCTTTCACTTTTATTGTAATCATCAAAATTATTTTGGAAACGGTTTTACTATTTTTAAGAATTGTGATTATGAGAATATATTGTGTTTATAAAAATTTTCTTGAATTTTCAAACTTATTTTGAATATTAATGTTGTTTTACTCTCTTTTATATGATATTTATTATGTCTCTTGCTTATTTATTTTTCTAACTTATTCTTCTACACACCATATAATTGCGGCTTCATTACACAACATATAATTGCATGTGATAATTTTCATGGCAGTTACAAAAAATGATAACATCTATAATCATCTTGCTTACAATTTTCTTTTTTTATTTTATTAATTAAAATCAATAAAAGAATCTTTAGAAGAAGGTTTATGCATCTTAATATTATTTCTACAATTATAAACAAATATATTGAAAAAAAAAATATGAAAATAGGACAGTTATTTTTGTAATAAATACTCTTAAAACTTGAACCACTTTACCACTTATTATTTTAATAATTTTCTTTTTAAAATATTCTCTCACGCGTTTTAATTAAATTGAAACAAAAATACAAATTTCAAAAGATTTTTGAATTATTTTTCTTAATTTTTATATATCTTATATTTTTCTAATTTAAATCAATTAGTTAAATTTATGTTTAATTAGGTTATCAATCAATCTCTTGGTTGTTTATTTTTTAATCAATGAAAATTTATTTTTTTCATATAACTTTCTCAAACATAACAATTGTCAATTGAGACAATTTTAGTTATTTGTAAAATAGAAAATTGTAATTTTACTCGGCCACTTACATTCCCATCAAATAAAATATTTGTGATTTATTTTTATTTTATTTTGTGTTATGTAGATTAATTATTCTACGTGATTTTTAGTAATTCTTACATTTTTTTTTGTTGAAAGAGGTCATACTTACTAATTTAAGATTTAAATTGTCAATTTATTTAATTTAAAATAAAAATTTAAAACAAAAAAAAAAGAATATTTTATAATTTGTTGATGCTTTTAAAAAATATATAAATACACATAAAAAAATATATCACAAAGTTTATATTAAAAACAAAATTAAATTAAAAAATTATCTATTTATATTTTAATACGTATGTCAGTTAAAAAAAGCGGACAATGTGTTCGTTTAGACGCTAATTTACATATGATTTCAATCGAAGAATGAATATTTTAAAAATTACTTTTTAAAAAGTTAAATCATTATATAATTTGATCGAATGAATTTACATTTTTATGTATATAAATTAAATATTATTTTTTGACTTAATTTACAAATTATTATTATTATTAGATTTATTTTTATTATCGTTCAATCAATAAAGAAAATAAAATTCTCATTATAACATAATTTTCCTTGTGACCGAGTATTTTCTCTTATCAGTATAAATTTATAAGGAAAATGTATAACTTTGTGTTTATGAATAATTATTTTTATAAGCTAATCACAATTTTAGTCTCTATTAATGAAATTAACTTTTTCTAAACAATTTTGCCATCTCTTCCCCATTTTTAATAAAATTTGAATAGATGTGTAATTTTTTTATTAAGTGGCCGTTATTGGATGACGTGGACCATATCACACGCCATTTATGAATTAAACTATGATGAGAATTAGGAATGAAAACCTGAATTTCTAATCGTTGTGTCCAAATTAATAGTTCTCAAAGAAATAGGTTAATAAATGAAATTAATTAGAAATGAGATGTAAATTTTATGTCGTATATGAAGATTATTAAATTAGTCCATAAATTGGGATGTTTAATTATAATGATTATGAATGTGTTGATAACAAACTAAGAAGGATTAATATTATTGACAACTTATTATTTTATTTGTGAGATATTTGGACATTTATTACGTGAATGAAATGTAATAGTTAGGCTTGTTTAGAGATGTTTATTTGTATTTTTTATGATTTTTGTTTAAATAGTAATGAGCACATTAGATTTTCTTTTTTTTTTTATACTTATTTTTGTGTGTATCCGGGAGTAGCTCGAGTGACAAGTTCAGTCACGTCAAAAATATATGCTAGTACTCATAACGCCTTGAACTAGAAGATGTTGGTAGAAGTTTTGAACTTCATCATTAGGGTTGTGTCGCATCTTAAAAAATACAACTCACGAGCATTTGCACGCTCGCGGAATGATTGAACATAGTGACCACCAAATTTGATTTACTCTAAATAAGGAAAGAGAAAATATCTATAAAACCCTTAAAAGAAAGAGAAAATGGTTGTCGCAGCCAAATTCAGGTTCCGGAGTCGATTATGAAACAGGAAGGTATTAGCACCCCTCACATATGTTGTACTCAACGGGAACCATTTAGCTAAATTTTCTATTGGAATGTTAGCTTATGTCGTTTGTTTCTTCAAGTGATAAAAGATTGAAAAGGGAAATAAAAAAAGCGTCGCAAAACAGTTTTTATTAGGGTGTTTGATGAGATTGCGGGTCTCGCTCCTACGTATCCTCAAGTACAATGAGGAATTCAAAGCAACGTAGTTCTGCGTAAAACACTACGTATTGGTTGGTTGGTTTTATTGAACGACTATTTAGATCGTGCTTTAACGGTTAAACATTGCTTGTACTCGCAATAAGTTGCTTAAAGTGTTTGTTTCTGTCGCGATAGAACGAACTAAATTGTGTTCTTATTAAAGGCTTTTGATCGTGCGGGAGCGAAAAAAGATAGGTTTGATGTGTTGAATACTTTTAAGTGGATGACAAGTGTCCACGCAACAAGCTCTACATCCAGTGCACGAATGCTCAAGGAGAAAAAAGGTCTAAACCCAATTAATCATTTTTCGTACAAATTTGTTATGAAAGATGTGTGGCGAATTAAGTCAATGTCCTTTAATTGAAGAAGACTATTTGCATGTTGAGCTCTACAGCCAATGTCCAAATAATTAGGGAATGATAAGGTCTACACCCAATCAATCCTTTTTCTTTTATATAAGAACCAACTAAATTCAGTTGATTATTAGGTTTTAATACAGATGACAAGTCTTCGAACACGAGCTTTACAACCAAATTCTCGAGGAATTACAATGTCCAAATTCTCGAGGAATTACAAGGTCTACACCCGATTAATCCATTTTCATCCAACTTATTAATAAAATAAGATAATAGGTGTCATACCTTAATTTTGACCCTGAATATTTGATCGACGCTTTTCATATCATAACATTTTCATCATCTTTGCACCATATCCAATATTCATATCATATAACCATTATGCATACAAATAGGCGCCCTTTTTTGTCTAAGCTCAGGTCTTACAAGATCGAATCGAGTTTCAAGCAAAGTTATCAGGTTAAGGGTGTGTGCAGTGTTGGTTGAAACTCAGTGGAACTTTGACCTAATCTTGGTCGAACAAGTGGTTTACTTCTTTATCAAGTGGTCAGGTTGAGCCAAGTTCATTAGTGCTTCATGATTAAAGAATCATCAATATTCAGTTCCA